AAAAAAAAAAAGAATTAAAACCTACCAAAAAAAGGGGGGGGGGAGATAGCTCAGGAGAATAAGTGCTTGTCTAGCAAGCACAACAGCCTGAGTTCAATCGCTGGTTCCATAAATAAATAAATAAATAACCCATCAGGTATGGTGGAACACACCTGTAATCCCAGCACTAATGAGGATGAGGAAAGAGGATTGGCATGAGTTGGGAGACCAGCTTGGACTACACAAACTGAGTTTGAGGTGATCCTGCATCGCACAGCAAAACTATGTCCCAAACAGAAAAGAAAGGAAAAAAAAAGTAAACCCGGGATAAGGGCTTTTCTTAAAATAAATACCCTGTCCTGTTTCCTCCAGGGGTTCCTTTATCTTGCATTTTCCTCTTTTCACTCCATCCAAACTTACTCTGAACTTTTTTTTTTTTTTTTTTTTTTGCTCCTTGAATGCCTTCAGGGTACTTTTGCACGGCTGGAGTGTTGTAGGGATCGAACTACAGCAAACTGAGGCTGCCAGCATTGTGGAAGCAGCCACTTAAAGAACAGAGCTAGGGCTAGGCCCCCAAACAGAAGCTTTAAACTTTTTTTTTTTTTTTTTTTGGCAGAACCGGGGATTGAACTCCATCCAAACTTACTCTGTATAGCCAGTTTCTCCCTCATTCTCCACTTTCACTTTTTAAAATAAACCGTGCCACTGCTAAAAAAAATAGATTTAAAACCAAAGCCAGTACTCTGAAAAAAGAGATCGTAGAGGATTTCAGAAAATGGAAAGATATTCCATGCTCCTGGATAGGAAGAACCAACATCGTGAAGATGGCCATACTCCCAAAATTGTTGTACAGATTTAATGCAATCCCTATTAGACTACCACCAACATACCACCAGACCTAAAGAAATTGTTCCTAAAATTTATTTGGAACCAAAAAAGACCTAGAATACCAAAGGGAATCCTGGCCAACAAAGACAAAGCAGGAGTCGTTACAATTCCTGACTTGAAATTATACTACAAAGCTACTGTGGGGGGCTGGGGAGATGGCTCAGTGGAATAAGCGCTTCCCTGGCAAGCGCAAGGGCCTGAGTTCAATCCCTGGTTCCTCAAAAAAAGAAAAAAAAATAAAAACTACTGTGATAAAATCAGCATGATATTGGCAACAAAATAGACCTGAGGATCAATGAAATAGATTAGAAGATGCAGAGGCTTCTACAAACACACTCAGCCACCAGATCTTTGACAAAGGGGCCAACACCCTTACTGGAAGAAAGATAGTCTCTTTAACAAATGGTGCTGGAAAAATTGGTTCTCTACATGCCAAAAACTCAAACTTGACCCAGGTCTATCACCATGCACTAAAGTCAAAATGGATTAAAGATCTGAACATTAAAACAGAAACACTAGGGGGTGGGGAGATGGCTCAGTAGAATAAGTGCTTCGCTGGCAAGCGTAAGGGCTTGAGTTCAATCCTAGGTTCCGCCAAAAAAAACAAACCCAAAACACTAAATCTCCTGGAAGAGAAAGTGGGAGGAACTCTTGAAGACATAGGGGTAGGCAAAGAGTTCATGAACAAAAATCAAATTGCATGGGAAATACTTGAAAGAATTAACAACTGGGACCTCCTCTTATTGAGAAGATTTTCCATGTCAAAAGAAATTACCAACAAAGTGAAAAGACAATCCACAAATTTTGAAAAAATCTTAATAAGCACTCAGACAAAGGTCTGCTCTCTAGAATTTATAAAGAACTAAAGAATATTAGGGCCCCTAAATTTAAAGACAGAATCCAGAAATGGGCATCCAAAATGAACACACATTTCTCAGAGGATGAAATTAAAGCAAATAAACATATGAAAAAATGCTCCTTATCATTAGCCATCCGTGAAATGCAAGTTAAAACACTAAGATACCATTTAACCCCAGAAAGAATGGCTACCATAAATAAATCAACCAACAACAAATGTTGGAGAGGCTGTGGGGAAAAAGAGAACCCTTCTCCACTGTTGGTGGAAGTATAGACTGGTCCAACCATTATGGAAATCAGTGTGGAGACTAAGCCTGCTATGCCCCTACTGGGAATTTTCCTGGAGGAACTGAAAGTATATCATAGTGATATATGTGTACCTATGTTTATAGCAGCACAATCTGTGATAGCCAAATCTTGGAAACAATCAAGATGCCCATCACATGTAGAATGGTTGAAAAAGATGTGGTATTTTTATACAGTGGAGTATTACTCAGCTATAAAGAATGATAAACTCAAAGCCTTCATATTTAAGCGGATGCCACTTGAAAATATATTTATAGGGCTGGGGAGATAGCTTGGTGGTCTAAGTGCCTGCCTGGCAAGCACAAGGACCTGGGTTCGATCCCCAGCACCACATGCCACGTACCAAATAAATAAAGATTTAAAATAAA